TTTCAATATCGTTCATTGCAGTTCTTATTTACGAGATTTAAAAATCCAATATCGCGATTTGTATTGAGGCATTTTTAAAATTTTATGTAACGATTCGATTTAAAATCCAAAATCACTATTTGTATTCACGCAATTTTAAAATCCTTTGTCGCAATTCTTGTAAAAGGTAAGTTTTTTTTCTTGAATTAGTTATACTATAAATGCGGCAGTTTTTCTATCTATGCTGTTGCTGTTGTTAATTTACGTCGCACTAGAGCTGCACAATGGGCTATTGGCGACGGTCTGGGAAACATCCCGGAGGATGATCCGAAGACCTGCCATCACAATTTTGATCCTCTGCGGAGGGGATGGTACCTCCACTTTGGTAGCCCGACGACCTGCGCGCGAAGTCGAGCACTTTACGGTAGCACAGTTTAACGAGGACCAATACCGCACACCCTCGGTCCTTACGCAGACTGATCCAAGTGGTCACCCACCCGCACACTGACCGTAGCCAGTGATGCTTGACTTCGGTGATCTGCTGGGAACCGTGTCTTAACGATCAGTCCACTGCGGGACTTTTCTATCTATGATTCTTGCTATATATAGGCATTACAACATCAGCGAAACTGGATGAGAGTATGTTACTGATAGTTTTGCTATAAATCACGTATGATTTACTGGCGTGAAAATTTAGCTCTTTTGCCTTTTGGCCAATCTCATCCCTGATGTGTTTAATTATTATTTAATATTATATTTAATGTATTTAATTAATAGATAATGTTTAAATTACAAAAAAAAAAGAATTGAATCATGAAAGTTTTATATGTCTACATCTTACTTACTGAACCGAATAGCTCATTAATCAAGTAATGCATAATTTTGGAAGGGGTTTTGATATGTATATATATATTTGCCAGAATTATGCCAATTTCCTCTTTTTTTTAGTCCAAGTTTGTTAACTATTAAATTATATCACATTATTCAATTCTGATATTTCCAAAGATCTTGTTTACTTTTATTGGTTCTGTGCACTATGACAATTTGTCTGCTCCTCTCGCACTAAAAAAATGTCTGAAAGACTTGAAATATGACGAACTTGTTCAATGTTTCCCCCATATGCTCATGTTAAAGAATAGGGTATCTCTCCTGATACTATTCTTTGGGTACATACATGTATTTATTAGGGTACATATAGGGTATCTACACACCTAGAAAGTCATGGATTTCATTATTGAACAAAATTTGTCATGATCTTAACTATTTTTTTTTAAAAATTGCGGATTTAGGTAACTGAAAAATCTTAATTTTAAAAATGGAATCCCCCTAATTTCATAGCGTTCTGAATATCTGAATTTGTAACAAAATATCCAATCTTAATCGTATTTTATTAAAATATAAAATGTTTCGATTGTGTTCTTTAAAAAAATGAAGGAAAGAACATTCTTTCTAGAGCGAATAATCTTTTAAACTTCAGTGATTTCAGAATCTTATTAATTTTTTTATTTGTTTAATTTTTTTTAATTTCAGTCAATTTAAAATTCTTATTTAGGCTTTTTATGTTACACTTACTTTTAAGTAGAAAAAAAGCAGCTTTAAATAACTATATAAAAGTTATTTGCTTTTGTATTTTTTTCCCAGCTATTTAAATGCTTCAACTCTTTCTTTACTCAATTTATTAAGTTTAATATCAATAAAGGAGAAGATTCAGAGCCCCGTGACAGAAAAGCAGAGACACAGCAGCATTTTCGCTGAACGTTACAAAGATCTTGCAGAAAGATTTTTCATTTGAAAAGTAACAAAAAATTACCTTTATTTATTTTTTTAACAGAAATTTGCGAGCTATATTTGAATCATACATTTAAATAATAACTTTTTGACGTACTCAATATACGCCGATAGTGGCGTAAATTGATGTATTTTTTCTGTTGTGATGCGAAATCAACATCAGTTATTGATGTTGATTTTCACTTGGATTTTAAATATAAACAACCTGAAAAATTCAAATCTTGTATTTGGGTATTTACTTCTTAAGTCAATAATTCTGTCGAATTTTATCAGTTATTGATATTTATTTCTCCATAGTTTTTAAATCTGATATTTTTTATACTTTATTTTTATACAACAGCCTAATCAAGAAACGAAACACTCATTTGAGGTAACCGATTCGTGTGAATTTGTCGTAAATCTTTTTTTTTTCTCGCCAAGTACTACTGCGGATTTAATGATTTGCAATTTTTTTTATTGTGATGATTAGTTACAAAAGGCGAAGGAAATAATTTCTGTGTCCCCCCGCCTCCCAACAAAATGCAAAAATGTAATGTTATTATAAAAATTACACGTTCAATTTAAAAAAAGTTATATATAGTTTTTTTTTTTTTTTTTTACACACAGCCTTGNTTTTTTTTTTTGTAAACACAGCGCTTTTATTATTTTAAATTAGTAACATACGTGTTTATTATTATGAAAAGTATCTTACAGAAAGATATTAGTGCTAGAGAGTTTTGTTGCAGGTAGCTCGAAAAAATTCTGCCTCAAGGATTCAGAGTATAACAGCTTTGGTTATACCTATCATTTCAAGTAATGTTATTATAATGCTTTTTTAAATTTATTGTTGTGTTGTGTTTAATTGATGATGAAATATGAGATACATTTTGTAATGGTTATTTAAACATTTCATGCATATATATATATATATATTCAGATATGTTATTTTGAAACCATCTGTAAAGGCTATCTTATGCTCTTTTACTTCACCATCTTGGAACTGGCGATGACGTATTGTAAATTAGAATAAAAACGAAACAGTGTTTTGAAAGCCTCTCAGCGGTTACGAACGCCATCTTAGGTAATTTTATACACATAGAATTTTAAAGTTTGTAATAAGACTTTACTTTTTCATGAGTCATTATCTTGCACTAAAATGGATCAGTTATTCCTTAAATTAATTACCCTGGTCCTTCCTGTTTTATTTTGCTTAGTTTGTATTCTAAACTCTAATACTTTCACAGTATTTTATGTTTCAAAGTTCAACAGTTAGCCACTCTAAAAGTTTTGTAATGTTTTTCTCGGTGTTTTTTCTCAACTACTAGCTATCAGGGTCTGTTGATTTAAATCAACCTGATTTAAATCATGATAAGCTGTAAAATAAAAAGCTGTAAAATTAAAGCTGTAAAATAAAATAAAGTATTATAAAAATAGATTACTAACTATTTTGAACTAATTTAAATTACAAACAAAATAAAATAATGATCACTATGCACTTGAAGAATGTCACAAAAACATACATACACTACTAGTCAGAAAGAAAAAATTACAAAAATTTTCCTTATAATGTATTTTTAAATTTTGTAATTCTTTTGGCTAAAACAAAATGATCACCTCCTGTGATGCGTTGATGGTTATGACTCAAAAGTTTTTAAATCACTTGACAGATAATTTTTTAAAACTGATTTTAATTAATTTAAAAAATCAGAATGTTGTGAATGTTTTTTAATCTCAGAATATTTAGATTAATATTTTTTTAAACTCCAAAAGAGTATTATTTATCAAAGAATTTAGATAGTGTTGATACAATTGAATATAATTTAAAGGTTTTCAATGTTTTTCCCAAATACAGCAAAATCATTTCCCAATTGTCACTTTCATGCAAATGATGCATTAATCATTTAATGATATTTTTTTAATAGTTATGACTTGAACTCACCGATTTTAATGAAATAAAATTTAGGTAATATTACTAGTTTAGACTTCGTTTGTAGTTGTTTAACGTAGTTTTAAAAACATAATAATTTTTTTGGTTGCATTTTTTTTAAATAGTGCAATAGTTTTTATAAGCATCTTTTTGTGCAAAAAATGTTTAAGTATAGCATTAATTTATTTTTCTTTCATAGTGTAGCTGTAAACTAAGTAGTAACTTAAGTAGTTTTGAATTCTAAATTTATTTTCGGCTTTGTTAGAAACATAAACTCATAGTAAGAATTTGATAGGTTATTCTAATAATTATTGCAATAAATTTTACGTATATATTATATTATCAATATTCAGTTATTGCAATAAATTTTATTTTAGACAGTAACTTTTTTTAAGCAAATTATTTTTTTAATTATTAAGTTTTAAATGTAGCCTCTGAGTTGAACATGCCTTGAAATATTTTATTAGATTATCAGCTCTCATAAAAACTTTACAACTGACCAGGAGAAAATTAAATGCAACGAAAAGTAATCGAAAAATATGATTAGTTTTAATTTAGACAGTTTTTGATAGGACTTCCGTCACAGCAGAAGTGAGTGTTTGCAGTCGATTTGGCTGGCTACGTAATCTGCTCTCTAATTTGACCCAAAGGTGTTCTTTGGGCTCTGAAAAGGCAGTTTTTGAACACCCATTTCGTCGTCTGTGCAAGTCTCGATGTGTAAATGCTGGACGAGGCCTGCCATTACAGTGTCCACATACATCTCAGAGTTCCCACCACTGGAACTAACGGGCCACCACGAGAAACACACCACCACGTGTACGGATAGTAAATCCCTAGAAGCCCTCATTGAACCAATATTAACGGCTCAATAAGGGTTCAAAGGGCCGTTATTTTCCGACAAGGTATTTTAGAGCCACTTTTTAACCAATATTGGCCCTACATAGACTTTTCGGATTCACCCGATATTTTACATTAATTATTCAACAAATATAGTTTATATATTGGTTGAATTATGAATATTGGCTGTATATAGCCTATCTACACTATCTGACACCCGGTTGCTATGGTAGTGGAACTCTGAGCTGTCCATTCACACAGACTTCTCTCGATTCCATAGAACACGTTTCGGACTATTTAGAGTGCTGCTATCACGATTTAGAATGCTATCACTTCAGCTGTGATGAAAGTCCTATCAAAAACTGATATTCAGGCAGTCATCGAAACAAAAGGGGGACCAATATTATATTAACATGTGCCTCTCAGAACAGTCCATACCACTGGGTGTACGGATACATATGGCATTATTAGGATATAAGAAGATACTTACGATTAACTGGATCGTCAGGCTCCTTCTACATCTAAAATATGACAAAGAATGTTTTATATTAGTAATTTAAAATGCATGAAATATAAAAGGAATTAAAAATTACTTCAGTTTTTTACAATAAAACTAAGTAAATAAAACTACATGCATATTAACAACGTATCCACTGTTTACATTTAAAGTTGTACAGCACTATTGACCGAATACAGTATAAGCTTGCATTATTATTTTTCATGTTCTTTTCTATGTCACAACGACCACAAAAGTTGCTCAAAGAGTTTATATTCATTAAATGCATGCACTTTATATTTGTTTTTTTTCTAAATTTTTTGTTGTGTAAACCATCTGAATTTCTAAGCAATAGTCAATTGAATATAATATCTTCGATGTTAAACAACCAGTGTAAAATTAACATCAAATCTCGTATATAATTTAATGTTAAATCTAAACACCCAAACTGGAAAAAATCTACCGCATTTCGCATAACACATGAAATATTTTCAAAATGTTTTTGCACTTAGGATGTTTTCTATTTGTTGGGGTGAGTTTCTGTTGTTTTTCATATGAAGGTATTGCGGCGGCACAGCCAAATGGTGGTGCTGTCGTTAGTGAATGTCGCTGTGGATGTGCCGTACTCTACCATTTTGATGTTTATTACTAATTATTATGTAACCTTCTTTAAATATTAAATTAAACTTAAATATTATGGCTAGCTGGTGATTTTGCATTATTTTATTTAAAAACCTACTTTCTTTTTTTTGGGCACGATGTACCCCACGTGCCTCAGTATTTTATTTACGTCGTACTAGGGGCTATTGGCGAAGATCTGGGAAACTTCCCTAGGATGATCCGAAGACATTTTGATCCTGTGTAGAGGGGATCCGCTTTGGTAGTTCGAGGACCCGAAGTCGAGCACTTTACGGTTGAACAGTTAAACGAGGACCGGTTCCTACACAGGCTGATCAAAGTGTTCATCCACTTACTGACCTCGGCCAGTGATGCTTGAATACTGGGAACCATGTCTTCTCGATCATTCCACTGCGGGACTGTTTGTCATATGTACTATACATCTCCAGAAACAATTTTTTTTTTATTTGTGTAATAAGGCAATCTCTCTTACCGTGTTAAATAAGTTTATAATTATTATCCGCTTCTGTTCTGTTAAGCCTAGTTCGAGTTTGTCTTAATATTTGTGTTCGATTTACAATTTTAATTTAAGAATTAGTGAATCCTAAATTAATGATTCTTATTTTACAATGTTTCGACTGATTCTTTTCTTTTTGTAATTATAAATTTTAGACAATGGTGGCAGCTGCATTGCACCCTACTGATTCTTAGTGTCTCGCTGCATCAAGAACTATCCATTGTTCCTGTCGAACACCATTTTTGATGTTAAGATAAATTAAAATTTTTTAAATGGCAGAACTGGTTTCCTTCAAAATTTGTAAGCTCTGGGAAGTCCCTAAAAATAAACTTTCGCATTTAAACCCTAAAAATCCCATCTCTGTGAGCAATAATTCCTCAAACAAAATAAATCGATGAATGCCTGTTAATAACTTAAATAAAAATGAATATTTTTTTACAGAAGTATAGCAATTTCGTATTACCTTGACAGTTGCAAAAAAATCTTAATGTATTAAAAATTGGAGGAAAATTTTCCATAAAAAAATTAATAAAAACCAACTTGTCGGTGAGTTTTTAAATCTAAACACAGCCCGAAATGCATGTTTAAAAAATTCCTATATTGAAGGTTGTTCATTCTAATATTTGATTTCAAAGATACTATGATGGACATTTGTGACGATCCGTAATGGTTCCAACTATACATTTTTATAATGGTTTTATGGGAATTTTTGTTGGCTCTCAGGCCATCAAAGCGACTTGATTTTCCTTATGCTGGCCCATTAAAAATCACTCCGAATTCCTACATTGGGAAGATGGTTGTACATGATCGTTCCAACATTTGATTTTAAAGAAACTATGATGGAAATTTCTGATGGTTCGGCATGAACAAACCATCAAAACAAGTTGATATTCTTATGTTGGACCATCATAAATCAGTCCTACATTAAGGTTACTTGTGCTGGTTACTAGCAAAAAATATAATGGTTCATGATAGAATTATTGATGCTTGTCCATTAATGGAAAACCATAAAAAATGTTGGGTATAAAAGTGTATGCGCCTTAGTGGCTTTAAATTTATATTTTTTAGGTGTGTTTTCCGTTTTAGTTTAGTGTTGAAGTCCAGATATTTGCATGTGTTAGATCAGGTCATGTAAAATAGGAGAGTAGTTTGGCCCTTTACTCTGTGTTTATTTTTATCTCCATTTAATGAACCGTTCTTCAACAATGTCCATTATGATATAAAGTTAATCTATTAATGTGTTGTGAGCACGCCCTTCCTCAACATTTGGAAAATCAGGGTTTTGAGAAAATATTTTTGTTTTATTTCCACATCAAGAAAAACATCGTAAGAAATATTGTAGTTAGAGCTAAGTTAATTTGACGTGAGAATACCGTATGCATTATGTTTCACGCATTTATTGAAAAAAGTTTTGTCTGCATAAATATCTTTGATTTACAAGAGATTGAGAGATTCCATTATTATAGACAGAAAATGTGATTTTTGTTAAAAAATATGTAATAATGTTTGTTATTAATAATAATTTATAATAATTTGTTAATAACTGTATAATAATTTTTGTTTAGAGATATGTAATAATATTTATTAATAATAATAATTTATAATAATTTGTTAATAATTGTATAATTTTTGTTTAGAAATATGTAATAATATTTATTAATAATAATTTGTCATTAATTGTATAATAAATTTTATTTTGAAATATGTAATGATATTTGTTAATAATAATAATTTACATCAGTTTCTTAATAATTGTAAAATCGTTTTTGCTTAGAAATAAGTAATAATATTTATTATTAATAATAATTTTTCAATAATTGTATAATAATTTTTGTTTAAAAATATGTAATAAAATTTAATAATAATAATAATTTATAATAATTTTTTAATAACTGTATACTAATTTTTGTTTAGAAATATGTAAAATAATAGCTAAGAGCAGAAAATTATTTGCTTCAGTTAGAAAAAGAGTGCAAATACAGCCACTTCAAGAGATTTCTTTAAGGCATTAAATAAAAGTATTTTTAGATTGTTTTCTTACAGTGTTTATCAAAAAGTTAAATAAACATTTAGTTTTAAAAGCAATCAGGAAAAGCGTAGGTGTATTTTAAAAATAGTAAAACATCTGCATCTTTTAAAAAACGACTGACACTAGCAAGAATATTTGGGATATATGCCAATGCGAGCCCCCACCCAAAATAATCTTTTAAGAGAAGTTGAAAATATTTTTAATAGCGTAAAAAAGAAAGTCTTAAATTAAGATATCTAAATAGATTATAATGGTAATTTCGAGGAAAATCTGTTTCAAAATTATATTATCGATGTATGCTTTTTTTTAATTTTGGGTTAATTAAAAGAAACATTAATTTGTACTTTGAACTTAACAAACATGTAATGATAGAGTACTTTTGTGTGTCGCCAAATTTTAAAAATGATTTATAATGTATAAAGAGAGAGATCAAGAGATACTTTATTAAAATTATTAATTAGCAAAAAAGCAAGTTAACAAGGAATCACAAAAAATAACAATTAATGCAGAAAAACTAGCAATTAATTGATATAAAAACAAGCTAACAATAACATAAATAACAAGCAACAAAAAATAATATCGCTTCAAAAAATAATATCGCTTCAATAAAATGTGTCGCTTCAAATGAAAAAAAAAAAAACAGATTTAGAATCATGGTGATGGAGAGTCATTCGATAGCACTATACTTTTCAGAAAAAAGATTTAAAAAATTACTTTATTGGAATACGATAAATAGTGCTGTATAATTTTTAGAACTTTTACAGATTTTTTTTTCATAAATGCAAAGCAATAAAATGATGCAATTTGTAAGTAATTTAATGTAATTGTCTATTTTAATATACTTTTCAAAGCTTCATTTTATTTCACTTCAATAAAAATCGAATTAGATAATGGGGAAAAAAAATCTTAACGAAAAAATAAGCAAAGACATTTATCAAAAAACAGACAAATGTACGAAACTACCTTTTCTTAAAAACTTTTTTCGAAATTGTATGATTTTATGAGTAAAAAAATGAATTTGAAATATCTCAAATTTTGATCAGTCTTGATATGTTTCTAAAGATACTATTTAACCCTTTGCTTACGGTATACCATGTTGTACCTTCGTATTGATCCACATGTTGTACAAGAGGCAAGCAAAAGGTTTAGCAAACAAGTTCAGTAAGAAGGAGAAACTTATTCACTCAGTAAGTATATAAAATATTTGAACATTGCTTAAAACAAAACTCCTAAAATTTTGAAACTTTAGTTATTGTGGTCCCGCAGAGGACTAATCGTAAATGCACGGTTCCCAGTAGAACACCGACGTCAAGCATCACTGGCTGCGGTCAGTAAGCGGGTGGGTAACTACTTCGATCAGCCTGTGTAGGGACAGAGGGTGCGCGGTATCGGTCCTCGTTAAACTGTTCTATCGCAAAATGCTCACAGGCAGGTCATAACCTCTACAGAGGAACAAAATTGCGAGAACCTTGAAAATCACTACAGTAGACAGCGCTGTCTCTTAAAGAAAAAACATTGTAGAGAGTACCGGGCAAGACACTGCCGTTTTATTATCCAGGCGTACTGCTAAAAATTTATGATTTTCTTATTAAAAACTTTGATACCTTCAATTAATACAGATCTATACTAGTATTAATATTTGAGCCGTGATGTCCCAGAGGATAGAGCGTCGTCTTGCAATGAGGTGAATCGGGTTCGAATCTCACCGATTGCTGGTTAATACGAATTCCGCATCTGGTTTGCACGGAGAACAGTGCTGACGTAAAATATCGTCAGTGGTATCACGAGCCCCAAGCCCATGATCCTCAGTGGATCATGGGCTTGGGCCATGAAAAAGGGCCCCTTCCATCAGGGGCCCCTTGCCATCAGGCTAACCATGGGGTTCTTTCTCTCCATGTAAAGAAAATGCGTGTTAGTTCAATCATAAAGTCCTCTACGAAGTCAAAATTTGTCCCAATATCTCCCTCGCTTTCTAGATTGGGTTCAAAATTACAAGGCTGCGGAGTTGAACATTAGTAGTCGTAAACAAAAAAAATTGGGTCGGTTGCTTAACGACGGTTATAAAATAAAATAAAATACTTTGTATTATTTGTATATATAATACAGTAGTATTAGTATTAATTGCTGCGGAGTTGAACATTAGTAGTACAGTAGTATTAGTATTAATTGTATACATAATTTGTATATATATACTGGATACTTTTCAATTAATATAAATAAATCATAACGATAATAATTAAAAATATGAAATAATTACATTTCATATTTGTCATCGCATCCAATTTCTAGGCAATGTGAGAAATTTTTATTCATCTCATCGGTTAATTTTTGAAATTCTATACATTTCCATCAGATTCCCAACCCTGTAGTTATTAAAATAAACATTAGCTAATTATCAAAAATTGCTTAAGATTTTGTGACTCCTAGTTCTCTAGCAAGATTTGAATATTTTTGACATTCTAGGAAATGCTTTTTTGACTAAATTTAGAACTTCTTGTTTTGACATGTTTGATTACATGATTTCAAAAAATAATATCCTTTCAAGCCAAAACTAAATTGTATTTCTTTTCCAAGAAACATTTTAACATTCACATATTTCTTTTTTTTTCAAAAAAAAGATTTTAAGTTTAAATATTGGCTTATTAAAAATTGAAAAAAATATATTATATAAATCTTTATGTTCTTCTTTAAATTGATTTTGAACAAAAAGTAAAGAGTTTTTTAAACAAATATTTTAGGAATGAAATTGTGTAAAAGAAAAATAGTAAAAATGGTTCACCCAAAATAACTTTCGATCTAATGATCGCATTTTCACGTTTTAGGACTCAATCTCAATTGTTCGAGGGTGTGACACCAAATATGCTAATTAAAATTTGCAGACGATATTTTAAGTTAAGAAATCAGACACAGAAACTTACTTTCTCTTCTTAATAAACATACCTTTTTTTTTTGATGGATTTCTGAATCTCAAATTATAGGGGGTTGTCGCAATCTGGGAAATATGGTCCCAAAAGTTAGGTCAAAAGATCGTTCCAAAGTTTGGACCCTTTAATGTTAACTTTACTTTTTTGTGTATTTCGCTATGTCTCAAAAAATGTTTAGGCGAATTGAAAAATTTTTGCACACAGTTATAAAATTCGTTTATCCAAAGATAATTCCATGCAAAAAATAGCTTTTAGTAAATATTTATTATTTTATTTAATGGTGGTCGAAAATGTCTAAACGAATTTTATAATTGTGTGGAAAAATTTTTCAATTACCTAAAGAAGTTTTCGAGGCATAGCGAAATACGCAATAAGTAAAATTAACAATAAAGGGTCCAAACTTTGGAGTGTTCTCCTGACAGAACCATTGGAACCATATTTCCCAGAGTACGGCTACCCCCCACACTCTGGGGGTCAGAAATCCAAATTCGTTGCAAAAAAGATGTGTGTATTCAGAGAAAGTACGTTTTTGTGCTTGATTTCGTAACTTAAAATATCGTCTGCACTTATTTTTCAGCATATTGAGGTCACCCGCCTGAACCATTAAGATTGAGTCCTAGAGCATGAAGAGGCGGTCATTGTCAAAAGTTATTGAGGGTTTATTGCGTACTATACGTTCATGAGATAGTTCAAATAAAGAGACAAATTTGTAGCTAGCAATTTTCTTACTAAATATATATTCTCTTTAAATGTCATTAAATGATTTGAACTTTTCAGTTTTCAACTCCAATGATTTAAACCTTTCCGTCGATATCGATTTAAAACGCACGATCGACATAATCGACATAATCGATTTAAAACGCACTTAATTAATTTTAGGTGACGAAAATTTATTGTTATATAAGAATGCTTTATTTTACAGTCTGAAAGTTCACTTCACGAGAAATATTTTGTAAAATGGCCTTAAAAATCAACTTATATTTGAAAAAAAAAAACAATGGAATCTTGATTAATAAAGTTACTTCAGAAGACAACGAAATTAATGAAAATTTAAATATTATATAATTTACTTCATTAATTTTACACACCGAATTTCCCTAGTTATAATATATATATATATATATATATATATATATAACAAGCAAAATATAATTATTCATCTCAAAACTCCCTCTTATAAATATCTGTGTTCTCGAAAATCATTGAAACTACTGTGTTTAGAATAGAGTAACTATAGTCTTTTTAAATGAAAGGATTATTTTTAAAGTTTATTAATGCAATTAGTTTATGTTGATTTAGTCTTTTTGATTAAATTTTTATTTTGTTTCTAAATAAATTTTAAATATTCTCTCATTTTAAGTAATAATAAGTTGCAGTCAAAATAAGTTNAAGATTTATGAAAAGAGAAGGAGAAAATTATTAAAATAAAATATAATAAATTTAAGGAAAAATTTTAAAAATATTTAAGAAATATTAATTCAAAAGCCGGAGAACTAAAAAAAGGATCTAAACTCTTCATCAGCTAACATGATAATATCCGCAAAAATTTATTGTTTATTATATTTTATTTTTTTCAATTTCTTTCAATTTATTTTATTTTATTTTAATAATTTTTCTTCTTCTCGTTTCATTAATATTTAAAATTTTCTCTGTTTTCTCTAAATTTTTAACTTATTTTATGAGTTCTATATACTTACATCTTATGTACAGTAAATAAAACTTATTAAGTTTCCTAATTTCCTTCGTTTTTCTCTTTTTCCTTTTTATCCCTTTTGTCTCTACATTTTGAACTTATATCTTACAAATATTTTAATAGAAAAGTTATTTTGTATACTGTACTTAACGCTTTTTATTTTTAAATTAAGTGCACGTTTGCATTTGTTTTGATTAACAAGAACATAATTTTTCGTATAATATCCTTACAGATTATTCAAATCAGGATTATTTGCATTTCTTTTTTGCTCAATAAAAAATGTTAGTATGTAGATATCTATAGAAATTACTTACCCCTAGATATAAAACCCAAAGTATTAATAATAATAATATGAGTATAACATAATTCATAACCAAACTACTGGCTTCTTTATCTCCAAACATGATTTCACAAATCGAGTGATTCGAAGTTTGGAAGAAAAGTGAAGGAAATGGGATTTGTAAAAATAGAAAACATCACCCCCGCATCCAAACCTTGAACATTTGCTTCCTTGTTGATTTCTTCGGAGTATTTTGGACAGCGAAAAAATTATATTTATTCACGTTCCGCCGCTTACATTTATTTTTCCTTGAAATTAAATCTTAATGAATGAGGTTGGCAAATAACTTCTCCACCTTTAATTTTTTTACTTTATTAAAAAATTTGTAACGTTTCGCTTGTCATTAAATGTTTTTAGCATAATGTTTTAGGTAATTCAAAGGAGCCCGTTTTGATTTACCAAAATTTTTGTTTTGTTTTGTAACTATGCTTTTTTTTAATTCAAATTAATTTACTTTAATTTTCCAATCATTTAACAAAAATGTTTTATTTTATTTTATAACCGTCGTTGAACAGTCTACGAAATTTTTTGGATTTACGGCTACTAATGTTCAACTTCGTAGCTTTGTAATTTTGAACCCAATTTAGAAGACAAGGGAAATTCTGGGTGAAATTTTGCCATCGTGGATGACTTTTTGATGAAATTAATCATTTGCGTTACATGGAGAGAAAAACCACGTAAGTCAAAGGGATTCTGACACATGATCCGTCTACCACTGAGGATAATTTACGTCAGAACTGTGGACGGTGCAAGACGGATGCGAAATTCGTATTCGAATCAGCTTCACCGCATTGGAAGGTGAATAGAAAATTAAACATTTTCAGCACCATCTTCGTTTAACCTTTACTAAAGGTTCTATGGCTACAAAAGTTGCTCGTGATATTTGTGCTATATATGGAAAGGATGTCAAAGCCTGTGACTGCGGAGGTTTATTAAGACTCTCTCCCTCCCTGTATATATATATATATATATATATATATATATATATATGAATAAATAAAAGAATAATAATTAAAATTAAATTAAAATATTTAAATATTTTTTTTATTTATCTTAAAAAAATATTAAATATCCGGAAAACAAAATAAAGAAAATATTTAATATCTTCATCAGCGAAATCTGCGAAAAGGAGTGCTTTCTAATATGAAGAGATTATTCGAATGTTTAATAATTTTTTTAAGATAAATAAAAAATTTTTTTAAAATATTTTTAAAAACAATTTTATTTTAATAATTTTTCTTCTTCTCTTGTCATTAATCTCTATTATTTTCCATATTTTCTATCTTTTCTTTTTATCCTTTTTCTTGTTATTTTCCTATATATATATATGTAATGCAAAAGTTATAAAAATACTTTTGTATTAATAAGAGCACTGAAACTTTTTCGTGTTCATAAAATGCAGATATTCTATTTTGGGACTTTAAGGCTGAAAACATGCCAATGAATTATAATTAGATTTATGTTTCAAAAGAGGAGTTATTTTAAGATCTTTCACTTCCATATAAGGAAGGATTAAACGATTTTCTATGAGTAATAAATAATTTTGATGAAGCGTCAGAATACAGAGAAGGCAATATGACTGGCCTCTTCACACATTTTAATTATCGTATAAAACGGAGGAGCAATGGTTTTTACGTGTCTTTTTAGTGTATAATGTTTACCAACTAAACTCCGTCAGATTTGACTGTAACTCTGCCTATCCCCCTCTAATTGGGAGAGGGGCTCTGAGACTTCTGATTCACCATCGATTGCTAAATAAAAGCTTGTGCAGAATATGGCCTCGTTACTCATGAAATTTTGACTCATAATTAACTAAAAATATCGGGGTTTTTGCCCTGATATTGGATATATATATATTTGTATATAAGTTCAAAATGAAGATAAAACAAAAGAAAATTATAGACATATGAAAAAAAAGGGAGGGGGGGAATAATAATGAAAAAAAAAATAACGAACAACTGATTAAAAAAAAGGGGAAAAAAAGGATGACATTTTTTTAAAAAAACGGAAAATAAGAGACATAATCTTTTCATCAGCCCACACGATTATATCCGCAAAAAAGAGTGCTTTCTGATATTGTATTAATATAGCCAAAACAAAATATAAAAAATACAATAGTGTGAAGAGCACTCAAAAAAATTTTTTTACAAAAATTACAACAAATAAAATAGAACACAATAAGGATGACAAAAGGATGAAATTTTTTTAAAAAAACGGAAAATAAAAGACATAATCTTTTCATCAGCTCACACGATTATATCCGCAAAAAAGAGCGCTTTCTGATATTGTATTAATATAGCCAAAGCAAAATATAAAAAATACAATAGTGTGAAGAGCACTCAAAAAAATTTTTTTACAAAAATAAAATAGAACACAATAAGTAAAAATAACAAGTAAAAACAGAAAATAAAATAAAATAAAAAGAAAAAACAATATAAGACAAAATCTATAAAGCGAGTAGCGAAATCAGATGTACTTACATGAACGGAAAATTTTTCAAGAATGATTTAAAAATATTATCGCAACACGATTGCCAGATAACAAAATATGAAAACAAAAGCGCAAATTGAGTGTAACTAGAGGAATTTAAAGTGCCGNATAAAATGCAGATATTCTATTTTGGGACTTCAAGGCTGAAAACATGCCAATGAATTATAATTAGATTTATGTTTCAAAAGAGGAGTTAAGATCTTTCACTTCCATATAAGGAAGGTTTAAACGATTTTCTATGAGCAATAAATAATTTTGATGAAGCGTAAGAATACAGGGAAGGCAATATGACTGGCCTCTTCACACATTTTAGTTATCGTATAAAACGGAGGAGCAATGGTTTTTGCGTGTCTTTTTGGTGTATAATGTTTACCAACTAAACTCCGTCAGATTTGACTGTAACTCTGTCTCTCCCCCTCTAAATGGGAGGGGGGCTCTGAGACTTCTGATTCACCATCGATTACTAAATAAAAGCTTGTGCAGAATATGGCCTCGTTACTCATGAAATTTTGACTCATAATTAACTAAAAATATCAGGATTGTTGCCCTGATATTAGATATATATATATTTGTATATAAGTTCAAAATGAAGATAAAACAAAAGAAAATTATAGACATATGAAAAAAAAGGGAGGGGGGGAATAATAATGAAAAAAANCAAACAACTGATAAAAAAAAGGAAAAAAAAAGGATGACATTTTTTTAAAAAACCGGAAAATAAAAGATATAATCTTTTCATCAGCCCACACAAATAAAATAGAGCGCAATAAGTAAAAATGACACGTAAAAACAGAAAATAAAATAAAATAAAATAAAATAAAAAGAAAAAACAATATAAAACAAAATCTATAAAGCGAATAGCGAAATCAGATGTACTTACATGAACGGAAAATTTTTCAAGAATGATTTAAAAATATCGCAACAAGATTGCCAGATTACAAAATATGAAAACAAAAGCGTAAATTGAGTGTAACTAGAGGAATTTAAAGTGCCATTCTTACTCCATTGCTGAAGTGATTTTTTATGCTGTGCATTGATTTGTTAGTTACCAAGGATGGGCCCGTAATGGATGTGTGCAAGGTAATATTATACTGGATAATTTAAAAAGTAGACCGTAAATAATTTTAGAAAATAAATATTTATTTAAGAAAAAATATAAAATAGAAAATAGAAACATAAATTGCCTGTTGTGCAAATAATTTTAGCCACGGATTTGCCCGAAATGGATTCGCACATGGAAAAATTTTATAAATTATCAAAAAAAAAATTTTAGCAGATAATTTTAACACGAATTTGCCCGAAATGGATTTGCACATGGAAAAATTAATAAAGAAATTTTTGGTAAATAATTTTACCCTCGGCAAATCCGTGGCTATAATTATTTGCAAAACAGGCAATTTATGTTTCTCTTTTCTATTTTATATTTTTTCTTAAATAAATATTTATTTTTTAAAATTATTTATGGTCAACTTTTTAAATTATCCAGTATAGTATTACCTTGTGCACAACCATTTCTGGCCCATCCTTGGTAACTAACAAATCAATGCACAGCATAACAAATCACTTCAGCAAAGCAGTAAGAATTGCACTTTAAATTCCTCTAGTTACACTCAATTTGCGCTTTTGTTTTCATATTTTGTAATCTCGCAATCTTGTTGTGATAATATTTTTAAATCATTCTTGAAAAATTTCCCGTTCATATAAGTACATCTGATTTCGCTACTCGCTTTATTGATTTTATTTTATACTGTTTTTTCTTTTTATTTTCTTTTATTTTATTTCCTGATGTTTTTACGTGTTATTTTTACTTATTGTGTTCTATTTTATTTGCTGTAATATCCGTAAAAAATTTTTTTTGAGTGCTCCTCACACTACTGTATTAATATATTTTGCTTTGGCTATATTGATACAATATCAGAAAGCACTCTTTTTTGCGGATATATTCGTGTGGGCTGGTGAAAAGATTATATCTTTTATTTTCCAGCTTTTTTAAAAATGTCATCCTTTTTTTTTTAATCAGTTGTTTGTCATTTGTTTCATTATTATTCCCCCCCCCTTTTTTTCATATGTCTATAATTCTTCTTTGTTTTATCTTCATTTTGAACTTATCTAATGAGTTCTGCTTACTTGCAGCTTATACGTAATAAATGAAACTTATTGTTTTTCTTAACTTTCTTCGTGCTTTCTTGTATTTATTTATATTGTTNTATATATATAAAATATTCTTTGACTAAAACATATTTTACTCTCATCCCTATGACATTTGAAACCGATAATTTTCAATTGTTAAAAATCTCCGACTCATTTCCGACACTTTTTTGCCAAAATGAATACGCCACCAAGTGATTAAACCTTATGATAAATGAGGAGTAATTCTAAAAGCAAACTATGGACTTGTGTTCTGAGAAACCCAAATGAAATATTAAAAGCTTGGGGTTAATAAATTTCAAAACAAATTTATTGTTTTCTTCTCGCAATTATTTAAAATGAAATTTTAATTCTCGTAAAATAAAATAGTAAAAATTGGCTATTTTCAAAAATCTGAAAAAAAAAGAAAAAGAAAACTTAAAATCTGTCATAAAGTGAGTTTAATTAATGTTAATCCATCTAAAATTTTATTTTAGAAACGAAAAATAATTAAATATAACAATATCCGCTGAAAAATTCTAAAAATTGCAGCTGTCTTCGATATA